CATAACCAAGAGCGGAGGAGGCAAAAAATATGTGTGAAAGACAAACAAGGGGTGATTAAGACAGAATCAAAAGAAAGATTGCAGAGATGGTTGAGCATTTGAGTGAAATTTTAAACAGACATGACCCAACAAATCCAGTGGGAGAGCATGAAGAAACAGGAGAACTGGAGTAGATTGAGGAAATAGATGGAAATGAAGGAAGGTGATTTTCGTGATTGCAACAACTGGAGAGGAGTGACTTTGCTACCCATCATCAGTAAAATATTCCACAGGATGCTGCTAGGGCGGATCAAGAGAGGTGTAGACAAGACGCTTCAAAAGAGCAGGCTGGCTTTAGACCAAATGACAGTAAAACTGAACAGATCCTTATAATTAAAAAAATAACATCTCAGAGCAGGTAAACGACTGGAGTGCGAGTCTGTACACGCACTTAGTGGACTTTGAAAAAATCCTTCGATTCGGTTCACAGAGAAAGCTTGAGGAACATCATGGGGAGCTATGGAACTCCGCGAAAGATGGTGAGCGTCATAGTAGGCATATCTGGAGGGTTTAATTGCGCCGTAATCGACGGATGTGAGATATCAGACTGGTTCAAGATTTAGTCAGTAGTAAAGCAGGGATGTGTTATGTCAGGATTCTTATTCTTACTGGCCATGGATTGGATCATGAGGAAGACAACAGCAGACAAGAGAAGAGAGATAGGATGGAATTTAACAACAGTGTTGGAGGATCTTGGTTTTGCGGACGACATCGCTCTACTTTCATCCAAGTTTAAAGACTTGGGTGTGAAGACACGGAGATTGACGGAAGAAGCAGCCATTGTGGACAAAGAAGGTGGGGGCAGCCAGAGGAATAAGGAGGAGAACCAAGATACGCCTGTTAAGACTTAGTCCGACCGGTTTTGCTTTATGGTTGGGAAACATGGAAGATCGCCAAGATCGGTGAAAGAAAACTGAACAGTTTCCAGTGTCAGTGCCTAAGACGGAAAGTGACGATTATATGGCAGCAGACAATGACAAATAAGAGAGTTGTTGAAATGGCAGAGATCAATGAAATTAGCTGGAAGGTGCGAAGAGGAAGGTGGAACTGGTTAGGACTCGTACTCGAGAGAGAGGGTGCGAACGACCGTTTTACGGCATTAGAGTGGAAACCAGGTCCAAAGATAAGAGGGAGACCAATGACCACTTGGAGAAGGACTGTCGAAAGAGGAAGAGGTAAAGTGAGGTGGAGGAGCTGGAATGTGGCCTAACAAGCGATAATGACGATGATGATGATGATACACACCGAACGTGACAGTTAACTTTAATTGACGTGAAATCGTAACCCGTGGTTTCTCGGCGAAAGGAAAGAAATGATCACTCTAATGCTAAAGATCGGAAACAAAAATAGATTCAGAGAAAATTTGTACCCAGCCTTTGGGGTACACTCTACCCTCAATCGTCCAATCCTTGTTTTATTGTTTATCATCAACGTTCACCACGTCACAAACTTCGAACAATCTCTCCACAAACCTATCACTCTAATTATCACGTCTCCTTTTTCAATCTTAACCTACACGTGAATGTGTAAGTCTCATGTCACTCAACTGACTTCCGTTTAAAAGGTTACTTGGAACTCACTTTGGAATCAGTGAGTTAGATAATACATACCGTTCTAGAACTTTGAGAAACCTTGGGAACACTTGAACTGTCTGCAATCAAAGGATGAGCAATTTAGCATCACGTGCTTTTCAAGCTGCACCAGCGGTAAAAGTATCCGAAGGGTTTTTT